AGCACTTGGTACGTTCGATTGACAGCTGACACCGAAAGACACAAACAGCAATTAAGCTCACAAAAAGCTGGTCTAGCTCACGTGCACTACCCCTTCCACAGTCAACAAACCTTTTGTCCCACGACCAGCCCCCGATACATCCTACCCATGAGCAAGCACAGGCGCAAACAGGCTGAGACAGAAGAGCTCCTTATTCCTGCCTCTACGCTTGCCAAGTCCATCCAATATGCCACCGAAGGCCGCGTGTCTCGAGACGGTCATTCAGTCAAATGTACCAATTTTCCATACTCCTGCCCTAAGTCCCCTCCGTGCCCAATGTTTGTGTCTCAGCCTCCACCTTTCAACGAATCCTTTCTCAACTTCGACTTCTCAACCTTCAGCACGTTTCCCACTGCCGAGGAGGTGCAGCAACACCTTGACACAGACCTGAAGGCTCAGGATATCGACGATGAACAAGCTGAGCATTGGTTTGTCTCACTGGTGTGTTCAAGTTGCAGGTCGCGTGTTAGCATAATTTTGACAAACATATCATCATTAGGAACATGACAGCATCCTTCGTGCATGGTCAGAAGAAACAGAAAATTTTCTTGACGAGTTGCTCCATCTCGAAGGGGTCTCCAGCTCAACACTAGAGCATTGCATGATCTGTCCTGAACATCGCTTGGGCACTCTGCTGTACCGGTGCGATGATTGCTTTGGTAGGGCTGTGATCTGCAGGGACTGCTGTTGAGAGAGCCACCAATGGCAACCATTTCACAGAATAAAGATATGTCACTTGCACTGCTGATCAACCTGACACTCACCGACAATCTAGGCATGGAATGGTCAATTTTTCGAAAGAAGTATGCTGCAAGGCCTCGGAGTCGTACTTCAGTTGAGTCACCTGCCTGGAGAGGTTTGTGCAGCTCCTGCCATTGGTCCGCGTGTGTCCATGGTGATTCACACAAACGGCTTCCACCCCGTGGACGTCCTTTTTTGTGAGTGCATGCAGCGGTCTCGTGCAGGAGACCGAGTTGAACAGCTACTTTGTGCTGAACTCTATCCCACCAGTATTACCAACCCCACCACTGTACCTTTCGTGCCCTCGAGCACTTCCACACTCTCACGCTGCAGAGTAAAGTCACGGCATACAACTATTATATGACCCTCCAAAAGCTTACCAATGTGACTCAATTGAGTAAGCAATATGTCGGAGTTTTTGCTCTCTCAGCTGATATTTTGTGCTTACCCACTGGTTACAGGACCGCTTCAAACCCTTCTTGCATATGTTACGTGAATGGCACTACCTCAAGCTCTTGAAGAGAGCAGGACGCGGGCATATCGCAGATGGCATCAGGAATATCAAACCGGGAGAGCTGTGTCTACAGTGTCCAGTGTGTCCGCGGCTGGGTTTCAACCTTCTGGATAATTAGAATATTATGTCCAATGACCTCAGGTGCGTACAATCTGTTGTTGTGGCTGTGTAGATACTGATCTGTTTGCGAAGATTTGTATACGCGCTTATTGTTGCCATCAACACCAACTTCCATCTGAAGAGACGGGCGGTATCAAACAATGCTCGGGATCCTGGGCTAATGTCAGGTCAGACATATTTCGTGGAGGACAAAGAATACTGAGAGTTCGTGTTGAAGTATGCAGACTAAGAAGATGTAAGTGATGCCTGCTATTGGGAAACCTGCTGTTGAACCAACCACATATTTGCATAGATCAGTACTTGTACCGGCTTTGCAGCCATGGCACATGCAAACACAAAGTTCAACTGTGGATATACTACAACCGGTGTCAGCTTGGCGCTCTGCGCTTGTCATGGTATGATATTGCCGAACGGCGTTGGAGATCTGCAAAAGGGTGAGAGGTTCATTGATATGTTTTTATAGTGTGATCTTAGCTAATGTACATGCTCAGATACTGCAACATGGATTTCATCAGTATGTCTGTGCTCAGTTTATTCAGCAAGCGTGGCCTGACAGTCTTATCATACAACATTGCCTGTCAGTGGGAACAATTCATTCGTGGCCATATTGTGCACCGCAACTTCCTGATGCATCTCTGTATTGAGCTGCTGACCACAAACAATCTCCGCTTCGTTATCCCCAAGTACCATTTCTGGGGACACAAAGGCAAGGACCACAGCAGATACTTGCTCAACCTAGTGCGCGGCATTGGACATACCGACAGTGAAGAGGTCGAGCGCAATTGGTGGTGGCACAACGCGACAGTGGCAAGTACCCACGAAATGGGCTCTGGATCATGGCACGACACATTTGAGGATCACTTTCAGTGGTCAAATTTTGAAAAATTTGTTGGCATGGGTGAATAATTACGCTAGCTTGTGGTCCAGCTTCACACTGAAGATCTGACTTGTATGGCAGGGCGCACTCTAGCCAGGAAGCTCAAGTGTGCCCTCCGTGGCTATGCTTTCCATGACAGGCTATGGAAGCAGTTCTCCGAAGATATTCCAACGGCAGACATGAAGCGATGGGTGGGTGAAGTGGCAGCATGGGAGACCAATATGTCCAGGGATGACCCGTATCATCTTGAGCCTTCAGGTGCGTCAAGATTATGTACTCTCGATCTACAACTGATCTCTTTGTCTTAGGTCTGACCAAGACCCAAATCAAGGCACAGCTAGCCGAAGAAGAGGATACTGAAGCTGTGAAGGGAAACACGAGCCTGCACAAGGTGACCTCGTCATCAATGGTGGTCGAGCTCCTTGGGATTGAGGACTTACAGTACATCTTGTGCTATTGCTAACATCCACCCATGTTTACTGAATACCTTCGGCATTTCCAGGCATCGCTTCCTCCTCAAGTACCCCATCGTAACCAAGGAGACATGCTCCTTAGTCCTCAACATTGTCGATAGATGGGCCGTCATCCGCCGATGTCTGCAAGCCACTCATGAAATACAGGCTGTGTATATGCCTTCCGTGCTGAAGCTCGTCGCAAGCGATGCCCAGCACTCTGGGTCATCCATGCCAAGCTCTATGCCAGCTTCCGAATTGGCAGCACGGAACACAAGGATTACAATCGGCGATGTTAACGGCAACCCTGAACATCAGCGACTGTTCCTACCAAGCAAGCTGGCTGATGAAGACCTCGAAGCTTGTGTGGCGGGGTTGGCTCCCATTGAAGACTGTCTCCGTGAGGGCCAGATGCGAAGTGCGCTGGACAGTCTGCATGTGCAGTTGCATGTGAGGTCCAGACTGATCGCCTTCAAGGCCCGAAACTCTCAAGGTCAGCGCGAGAACCTGCGATTGATCCAGAAAATTGAGGCGTGTGAAGCAAAGATCAAAGTCTTGGTCGCTAAATATCGACGTGCGCATGTGGCGAAGGTGGCATTAGTGGGCCCCGGTCTGTGGAAGGATGAATGGCCTCTTCTCAAGGATCGTGATGTGTGCGGGCTGTCGGAAATGGAACCACAAGTTGACGGGGATGACGAGCCTTTGAGCCGACATCGCCAGAATACAGAAGGGTCTCACGTACTCTCCTGGATCTGGCTCAACATCTGCTGGCAGCAAACATTGGGGCCTAGTGGGACACCAAGAATGACCGAAGGTAATTGATATGGCGCTGATCACTGTATTTACACCGACGACTGACAGTTCTCTCGTAGCACTATGCGTCGAATGGCTCCGTGCTCGCAGCAGAGTCATGCGGTTCAAAGAAGAAATACTCTACCTGCACGAGGAGCATAGGTGAGTACTTGTGTCCCTGGAGAAGAACGCGGTGGCATGGGATAAACGGCGAACATCTTAAGGGAGCTGCACGGAGTGCTCACAGCTGTGCGATGGATTATCTGCATATGCCGCCAAGCAGTTAGCTTTGCAACGCGCATAGGGATGCCACTTCTCGATCTTATGGCAGCCTGGAGGAGCGTCGATAGGACAGCCGGATAACGAAGGGCGCAAGCTCAATCCAGTGTGATGTATCCAGTTTTCATTAGATAGTGATGGTTCAGACAATGAGAGGTGAACAGCTGCCAGAAATGTCGAGTCCGATGAAGATTGAGTATGGAGAGGCTATATATTACATGTTATGTAGTAGTTACATGACCACTGCTACCGCAATTGACAGAATACACGACCAAGTGTGCGTGCAGGGACTTAGTGAAATACACAAAACAATCACATGACTATCTCGCGTCTGAAGTTGCTAAGTCCTGATTTGCTGTATCTTGCTGCCGAGCTCACGATCAGGCGTGTACCGTGCGCCAAAACTGTTAGGGATCGCTCTGATTACTTTATAGACATTGTGATACAGCTGGAGGTAAATGTAATGGTGGCATGGCGGACTGTGAGATGCTTTGAAGTGCAACAAATCCCGAAAATGTGTGGATATTAAATCATCCATGGTGGTGACGAGAGCTTGTTTATTTTATAACATATTTAGTTGCAGTTATCAATAAGAGGTTTTCCAAGTGAAATGAGAAGCAGTGAACGGTGGGATATTGCAAAACATATGGAATATCGTATGTTTTGATAACATGGAGGTGGGGACACTGAGCACCATAGAAGCGGGGCTGTGAACCGTTTTATATTGGCATTAAAAGAAGTTAGAACTAGGCAGAAGATACACTGTGTGAAGTGATGTTGAGAAAAGCCGGGTTTATGATATGCTAGCACAATCATAGCGACATACCAGATATGGCAAGTGATGCAGCGGCTGCATGAACAGTGGTGTAGTTGTCAGCTGGGCCAGGCAGGTGGGCCATTATTACTAGTATTTCGGCCAGGAGATAGCAGCAGGCATGCTTCAAACCCAATCAAGCATATGTTTTGACATTCTGCTGTGTGTTTCTGGAGCTGTCCCACCAGCACTGCTAGCTGCCGTACCACTACCCAAAGTAGTAATATGTGATTGGCGCGTGTGCCATGTGGGTTCCCCCAAGCAGCTGCTCAAGCTGGCTCTAGCATTCTATTGCATTAAACCCATAACAGCTCTGTGCTGTTTGAACTTTCAGACATGAGCCCAGGGCTCGCTGCTGCCTATCATGTTCTCAAGTACCTCTGCGGCACCTCCAACTATCGACTCTGTCCAGGTCAGAATGACGAAACCGATAGCTGTTTGCTCGGTTACACCAACGCAGACTTCACGAACAACAAGAACAACTCCGTCTCAACATCCAGCTGGGTTTACAAACTTGGTAGAGGCACAACCAGTTGGTCTTCTCGCAAGCAATGCTCTGTGGCTCGAGACACCTTCAATGCAGCCGACAAAGCAGTCCGACATTTACAGTGGCTCGAAATCTTTGCTGAGTACATCAAACACCCACTCACAAAGCCTGTCCCCCTTCACTGTGACAACAAATCTGTCATTGACACTGCCCAGTCACCCAACGTCAAGCATCGCATGAAACACACCTGCGTCAAAGCTCACACTGTTCATGAGCAATTCGAAGCTAGCTTGATCGAACTCATTAGGATTCCTGGTGTCAACAATCTGGCTGATATTCTCACAAAGCCTTTATCCGCTGAGGTACACAGCTGTCACACCCAGTCTCCTGGCCTCGTTCCGTATCGCCTCACCAAGAGGAAGTGTTGAAGTGCCTAATGGCTCTGGCTTGGCAATCCGCCCAGCATGGACTTAAGGTGGACATCTTAGATTAGGCGCGTGCTTATATGTAGTGTTGCCACGGCTTGGCGCGGCTTGGCTGTGACTTGACTTTGGATGGCTTTTCCTTTTTGGGATCAGCCGAGTCAAGTCAAGCCACAGTGCAGCCGTGATTACAAGCGACTATGGCTGAGCAGCGGCTTGCAGCCGATCATCCCTCCCAAAAAGGAAGGTGGTTCACACCGGTACCGCAGAATTCATCGTAACATCGCTTGTCCTACTTGAGTGATGCTAAATATGAACTAATCTCCTCTGGAGACTCTTCTGCACGGCTCTCCAAGTCCTTGAGCTCCTCTCCAATGTCCAAACCATGTGTGAAAGACAGAGAATGGCCTTGCTTGAACCTGAACTTGAGAATTTGCAGTGCTTCCATGAGTTCTCCACCGATTTTGTTGCACCGGTCTGTGACTGTTATCTTTCCAGATGAGAAGACACGTTCACAGGGCACAGCAGAGGCTTGGATAGGCAGAATATACATTGCAATGGCATAGATGGTTGGAAACCTGGTCTGAGATGCCTAAAATGTGAAGATAAATCAATATTTCGAAAGAAATGGAGAAAAATGGAGAGAAAAATTATGGCACAAGTTTCAGTAAGTGTACACTCACCTTCCAGTATGTGATAGCATCCACAAATCCATCTGTGGGCTCTGCAATATATGCATACCACCCTTGCTCTACTGAACGCTCAGCCAATGGACCTTTTCCTTTACCCTTGAATAAAATGTTGTAGGCCTTTTGCTGCTGTGTTCGAATCACTGCAGCTGCTGGAGCCGAGGCTGAAGGGGCCATCTTGGATTTATACTTGCGCATCTGTAAAATGAATGTTAATATAGAGAGAAATGAAGATTACAATATGAGTAAAAGCGCACCTCAGCTAAAAATAGATTCTTTGCTGCAGCTGCTTCTGCTGGTGAAGTGTTTTGCTCAAATCACTCCAGCTTACATGCAGGATTGATGACTAATAAACTTAGCTTCAGATTTTAACAGCTTTGAAGCTGTGCTTACCAGTGGCCAAAATATATGCATTATAGCTGCGGTTGCGATCACGATAGTCTTCAAGCTTGTCCAGACCTTGCTGAATAATTCCAGCTGCGTTGGACACTTTTGCCTGTCGCTCCTGCCAGTGTAGCTTCATGGCTTCAAATGCAGATAAAACACTAAT